GCTCTTCTTCTTTCTCGTTCCTTTTCTCGCTACACTACGCATCGTCTCCCTTTGGTCGGTATGGTGTCGACCTATTGGGTTTCCCGATTCACATTGACCATCTGACATTATAGCTTATTATAATTACTTTGATAATTAAAAATTTTTCTCCATGATTATTTCCAATAAATACTTTTATTTCAGATTTTGATTTTAATTATAAGGAATAAAAATTAATAACATATATGGGGTGAACATAATGGAAATATTAATTCGGAAAAATGATTCGATCATATTATTTCAAACGATTATGAAAATGGGAAAAAAGCTTAAAAATAAAACATTTTTTACTATGCTTTTTGTTCTCTTTATAGAAGTATGTTTATGTATTCATTTCTGAGAACGTGTACATATTATTTTTGACACGAACTGTATAGGTAACGTTTTCATGAAAGGTGTTTTTTGCTTGTTTTACAATGAAATGATATCTGATTGTTTTTCCGTTTAGTTATTTTATTGCGATTGCTTCTTTTTCTCAGAGCGCTGTAATCTGCACCTATTCAGCATAGAATCAATACGTACACGCGAGCGCGAATGAGTTTCCAGTTAAATGGAACATGGCGCATTACGCTTTTCATTCCCATTGTACTACTGAAGACAATACACATCTTTTATTAGACATCTTTTAGAACGTTCGTTTTGTATCGAACTTGAATTTTTTGTACAAATAGAAACAGATGATCATAAAGAAAAATTAATTACTTTTTGATCGGATTATGAATAATATATTTTAATATTATACATTATATTATTATAATAACTTTACAAATAATAACTAGTATCTCGATCACGCTTGATACGTTCATACAATTAGCTTCAAGATATCTTTTTATAAATGTTATAAAATTCAGCTTATAATAATATTTATGATCGCATATTAAATTTTGGTCTTGCTTTTTAATAAAAAAAAAAGTACAAAGATCCATTATATGGAAATGCAATTTATAATATGGAATACTCTAATTCTCTTAAATTTATCAGGAAATAATGTTAAAAATGTTGCAAGCTTTCTTGACCATATTGATCTTATACTCGAAGAGCATTTTTAACTTAAATTCTTTTATTCTTTTTCCAACTGCACTGCACAGTTCTTTCCAATTGCTTATGTTCTTTCTTAAAATAATACCTATTTCCAATTTTAGGATCTAGTGTATTTGCCCCAGATGTGAAGCATAAAGACAGATGCAATAAAAAGAAGAGACATAACAAGCACAGGTACTGGTCCTCTGTAAACAAACATTTATTTTTTTTTTTTAGATTTTTCCTTAATGTTCATATTTTTGATTTTGACATGCATATTTTTTCAGTATATTACATCTACTTACACTTTGATGCCAGGAGAATCATCGGTATAAAACCTCCACATGCCATCAGAACCAGCTCCTGTATTTCTACTCCTAGTTAAACTAGTTGTTGTAGTTTTTCTTTGTCTAACAGTACCACCGCCACCTGTTCTAGGTGCTATAGCTTTGCTAGGTGAACGTCCCGCAGCTCCGACCGATGTAGAACCAGCGGCAGGCTTAAAAGCATAAACAAAATATAACCATAAATTTGTACGTCATAAAACTGTCTTTATTATTTAATTTCAATGTTACAAAATTACTTACCATCGTTAATATTTTTCAGATGTTAATTCGTGAGTAAGTACCAACAAAAAGGCCACAAGAAATTTGTTTTATAACTTATAGTTCTGTCTAATTCACAATGAACAAAAGTTTCAATTTATCTCACTTTTTCAAGTATGTATGTTGTTATCTGATTATGAACAACATTTAATAGATATTGCTATAAGTCACTTGGTATAAGTATGTAATGTGAAGCCAACCTTCTTTCTATTACTTTAAACGTTTACTGGTAGCATGAAACGTAACGTAAAGCGACGTGTCATACACACACCATCCACGTCGGGACTCTTAGACACGTCACCATATGCCGTTACATTCACAGTGATGCATAAGCGTTGAACTTTATGCCGCGTTTTCATATGAACATTAAATGGAATTTTATCGAGTTACAATCATATCCAATTATTTTTGCAATTTATTTGAATGACATGCAATCATTCTTTAATAAAAGAATAGTAATATAAATAATATTTCGCAATTTAAATGTTTAAATTCCTAAAGATGTATTAGAACATAAAATAAATGAAACATAGTGAGGAAAATTTACTTATAAAATTTAATCTGATATTAAATATTATATTGTTTATTAAGTTTAATTAAAATTAAAATGATTATAAACATCAATAGATTATAAAAAAAGATTGATGTGTAACATTATAAAAGAAATATGAAAGTTTCAAACTTTTACGAAATTTCAAAGATTTAAATAGTCGCAACTTCATAAAATATTGATTTTTTAAAATAAAGCGACAGTACAATTTACTTATGATAGTATAGGGCATTTATTTGTTATTTACATAATATACGATCATTAGTTTGTTTCATAAATTTTCATATTAATTATATTTTTGGTAATAAATAACATATAACTTTTAATATAAGTGTAGATTGAACTAATGCATGTAATTTGTCACACTATGGTTCTATACAAAAAATCTTAAAGTTCTACGTGCATGCATAATGGTCGCACACAATAATTTATGTTCTACAATTTCTTTCTTTAATATTTTTCATGTTAGCAGACTAGTTACAAAATTATGACAACATATTACATTATCTCTTATAAAATGGTTCGTTTTCACCGTGATTGTATTAGAATCTTGAGATATAAAAGAAAATCGTATATATAGTTACAGGAACTTTTCCTTTTTGTTTCAGTTATTGTACATTTGTAGCCAATTTAAGATAAAAATACAAAATTGTTGCCTTTTCTTATATATAAAAATTTTACTAAAATGCATCGAAATATTCATTATTGATCAAAGTAAAAAGTTTATAAAATAGAAAGTTTAATACTTCTATTGGTCTCAAGTACAGTCTCAATAATTTTCTCTTTGCGCCAATACCAAAAAAATATTTTGTAAATGCTTATAAATGCAGTAGTTGCATATATTATACTTATTCACATAAATTAGTATATGCTATAGGTATACCTTTCTAAAGATATTAAAACAATGTTTATTGTATGATTGTTTCAGTCATTGTAGAATGTTTTAAATGCATAAATCCGAAGTATTTCATACAAGTCTTACAGTAATATACTGATATACTAGCAATACAAAATTTTGTAAAAGGTATGTTGCATATCTAAGCTAGTGTAACTTCATTATGCTTTGGCATTTTGTTATATTTTACAATATAGAAATACTTAAACAATTAAAATATTATGACTTTTATCCATATAATTATTTCTTTTGTTAAAAATTAATCAGGAAATACGTTTCACTTTCTTACCATACAAATAAACTTTTTTTTTGTATATAAATATATACATGATAGTGAGAAATATTCATATGGATCCTGCGCAGCAGTTAATGTTTGGCACAAGAAATATTGTTGCAAATTTTGATATACAATAAACATTATACAATGCGATTTATACGCAGGCACATGTAAATCATGTTTTTTTAAGCAATTTTATCTAATAGCGTTATTAGCTGTTACCTGATATTAGAAAAACGTTTTCATACAATTACTTTTTTTCAACAACAATAACGAACCATAACAGGATTTTTATACATATATATCTATTTTCTAATGCTCTATCTCAATTGCAATTAGAAACGGATATTATGCCTGCAAAATAACCATAACAAATATTAGGTATGTATTAATTAACATTATGCCTCTATTTTAACTGGAATTGCAGACATTTGTTACGAATAAGGTATACAAAATAGAAAATAAAATACCAAGTATTTAATCATTTTGTGGAACTAACTCAAAGATATCTTACTACTGGTCATAATCTAATACGATATTTGGCAGACATGTAGCTCCAATAAATTGACTTTGTTATTGTATAGAGCGAAATAAATATCCTTAGACCAAATAGATCACTTATTTGGTATTTAAGTACTTGTTACCCCTTTACGAGCTACTAATAAATTTAATACTTGATGCTTCCTAATATATGATACTGCTTTTTTATGAGTTACCATCGTAAAGTCATATCCATTGCACTGTAAAATTTTATCGTGCATACGAAGACCACTCTTTGCTGCAGGTGATCCTTCATGTACTTCAGTTACATATATACCCTAAAATGATTTCAATTAATAATATGAAACATATTTCATATTTACAGTATTATAATGTAAATCTCTTTTACATTATCCGTATAACCCTGAGGACTTTTCCTGAAATCTTGATCGATTCCACCTCCAATTTTAAAACCACACTTCATCACTTCCTCTCCATTTTCATTAACATCTGTTTCTTTTACCAACACAATTGGTATCTAAAAAAAAACAAAGTATACAGTAAAATAATAATTGTGTTTAGTATAATTATATTAATATCAATTTATCAATGAGTTGTTTTAATAATGTATCTTTCATACGATGCAAATAAAATTTAAATTAAAAAGATTTAGATATAATTGTATATTGTTAAAAAAGAAATAAAAAAAAATTAAATTAGTCATGAAAATAAATGCATAAGAAATACATGACAATAACTAAACTTGTCTCATTCAAGTTTTGAAACATCAGTGTATCACAAATAAGATATACTTACGCTTAAGCATTCCATAGCAGTGCCAGCTTGATGCTGAAAAGCCATTTTCGCGTACATAATGATGAATCTTGTGTCTGATAAGTTTAGATTGACAATTGCTTCTGATGATTCAACGTGATTACCAATTGCTCATGCACTAGACACACCGACGTAACAATTACACGCAGATTCAAAGATGCGTGTTTGGAAATTTATTGAAAAAATATATTATTGAATAGTAGAAAAATTATGATTTACTATGAACGTGTGATCCGGTTATTAACGTCGTTAAGGTCAGTATACTTTAGCGTTGTTAAAATCAGTTAAGACAAATTCGTTCTCACGTTGACAGCCATGCGTACTAGTCGATATAGATAGGAAAGTATCGTTGCAATAGAATGCACCGTAGAAAATACACAGTGGCGTTTTACAACGGTGAAACCGCGAAAACTTAAATTCTCCACATAATTCTTATTTATGCATTTGAATAGAATAAAGAGTTTGACGTAAACATAGGAAGAAAAAACAATATTTAAATATTTAAGTTAACAATGAAAAATTTAGTAATATTAAAACATTAACTACGTATTATGATTTCTTTTCTTTAAGTAAATGGATTAGAAGAGGGTTAAAATTTCATAAATATTGAAACACAGGGATAGACGATCAAATTTGATGCAATAAATGTCTGGTCTTCTTTATTAACAAGCTGAATTAGCATACCTTGTGAAAGTTTGACACTTCGTAAGACATTCGATTGTTTTATTTCTTTTTTTTTTATTTTCGCATTAACCATAACGGACGATGATTAATTTTATCGAACTCGTCCACGGATAGTTATACGAGGATATGATACATAATATCTAAGGTTCACGGATCTCATGTATTATACAAATAGTTCATTCATTCGCGGTGGTTGTGCTACGCGATGAATTTCTATATCACACACATCACCTATGCACGCGTTCGTCAGACGTACATTCAAAAAACCATTGCGCTAAATTTTTGTCCAAATTTTCTTCTAACTACGATCACGTTTTTTTTTTCTATGACAAAAATTTACTACAAATTATAAATTTTTCGTAAAATTTGTTGCATCCATCGTATCTGTACAAATAAAATACGTACTTTTATGTAGGTGTGATAAATTACGTCGTCATATCGTAAGAGGGCATACTCTGTATATGTATATATTCAGCTAAACTGTTAATTCCTCTGTAGCGACTTTTTAATATAAGTTTGTTTAATTAGTTAAGCATATATTACACCTTAATAGTAAGATGTGTCATTAAAAAATGTACACGTAGAAAATTTAAAAAACATTGAAGAAGCCTTTAATAAATACATATATGGTAAATATACAATGTATTATCAAATGTTAGCGAAAGAGGAACTTCGGAAATTGAAGCTGTAATCTAGCAAATTCTTGTATAAAGTTTAAATTAAATATTGCTACACTTAAACGCTGATATGGCAGTTTATTGATTAACATTAAATTAAGGTACTGATATAAATATCAATACGATCGATTTCGATAGTTTTGTATAGGTTAATTTCATATTGTTACTTATTAAAACAGTTGCGTATTAATATTATTACGCACGATCCAGTCTGTTGAGAATTTTTGTAGAAATATATTTCGTATGAAAAACGAACTTTCTTTTCTCCTTTTTGGAGAAAATACACGAAGTATGCCCTCGTCTTTGAAAGTTCTCCAACTACGAAGAGTCGTAGTAGAGTCGTAGACGCCCATGATAACGATATCTCGTTCGATCATTTAAGGCAATAGCCTATAAATTAATTGTCTTTACGAACTTGTCTTAAACTCCGTTTGGCAAAAATCAACGTAAGCGTAGTTAATTAGCTCACCGTTTCACCATTTCAAGAACGATGCACGAGTACTGTATTTTAATTGATTATTGGCATATAAAAATCCCTTATTAGCTCGCATAACGGATAACTTATCGATAGACCGATTATCATAAAATCGTCCGATCTGATCGATATAAGTTTGCTTCGAACAAAATGTTTCACCTTTTGTTTTTCTGTGCATTTCAATAACAAACGATTTAGAATTTTTTAATTACTTTATAGTAAAATTCTAATTAGCTTTTGTGAAAACTTTGTTTTTAGTTATCAGCCATCAATAAAAAGAATACCTAGTTTTTTGTTTCGAAACGCAAGGAACACAAAAGGTTAAACATTAAAATATCTATATAGAATATTTCGTGAATGAAACAACGTAATACTTAATGCTATTTTTGACGTTAATTAATAATCATTGTATGTCGATAAATTGTTCATCCTTTAAATATGATGCATACATGTATGTACACTTTAAAACTTATTGTTAAGTACTCTTTCTCAATCACACTTCTCGATCTTGGACCGAAATTGCGTGTTTTCTCAGATATAGAGTCTTTAAATTACTTTATTAATACAATTAAACAAACGAAATAACGAAACGCACAGTTGTGTCAGTTTAATGCCGATACTTAGGGGTGTTACAATTAAGTTGTCATGACGTATATAGGGATTCGTTTTTCAAAATAGTGTTATATCATAACATTTTATTTTTGTTAGCTTGTATAATAATAATTTTATAAAAGATATTTTTATGAAAAAAAGGGAATATAAAGTTTGTACTAAAATGCAAACAGTATCGATTTAGTATAGGTGTCCCAAATGTACCGAAATCAAATAGCCTTCCTTTTTTTACTCCATGACAATGCATAACACAAGTATAAATTCTTTGTTTAAATAATGGAATTATGGTAGTAGCAACTATACGGTAGATATTTAAACCATGTTTTTCAGGGACTGCATTAAACAATTCTCAGTACCATATTTTCGCTTTGTTCGTTTAACTATACAATCCATGGTAACAGTGTGACTAGTGATACGTACAATCTATACTATACAGTAGTTAGACGATTATACATGTGTGTAATTCATCATTCCGTCTCTAAATTGACTTGTTTTCTAACACTTTGTTGATGGATGCCTCTCGTTTTATCAGTCGCTGTTGCAGAATCTTCTCAGGAATGGTTACACTTGTAGCTCTCAAGTGATGTGATTGAGTTTGAAACGACGAAATTCTTATGTATTTAAAGACCCCTGTCGATACTTTCACATATACCTGTTCATATTATTTCACGATTGGTCGATCGGTAAACTTGCGAATAACGCAACGGCAGTATTCGATGCAACGATGAAGCAATCGATCAGAAGATTTGTCAATTTAATAATACACTGAGAAAAATGTTTAAACATGAAGAAACTGTGTTTTGGTGTATACATTTTATTGACAGGAAACCGTGAAGCACATTAGATATGCTAATATTAAATCTAATTCCTTTTAAGTAAAATGGACATTGTTTCAATATGTTAAACGAGTTTCTCAGTGTTTTAACATGAGCAAAAATTTTTTACGATGAAAATTCCTAATTAACCTGATTTCGACAACAGTTATTACTAGCAAACGTGTACCATTCAAGATCATATCTTATCGCTTTTTCAAAAACTACGGTTTTCCGTTGACATTCTGCAAGACGATTAGATAGTCAACAGTTTTCCAGAGAACTCTTCATGTCTCTCTTTAAATCGTTTCGCAAAGATTTCCGCTAGAACTGCTAAATTTCAATCATACATGTATAGTGAACTCTTGCCTTTCTTGCTCCTTCCTTTGTTGGTACCTGAAACGAAGACGTATAACAAAGTTTTTAGTATTAACAAACAAGTTTAGATTTTGTTTCTAAGAAGCATATTATTTTATTTGGGATAGTAACTTAATTTTTAATACAGAAGCAGTTTTGAGCAATGGATACTTTTCTAGACTAATATGTATATGACAGAATTTGGTGCTGTTTAGTGTAGCTTCATCTAACCCTTAGAAGACTTCTATCTTTAGATTCTAACAGGTAGATGTGATTCTTGAAAATTTGGATTTGCTTACATGCAATATTAGGTAAATGAAAATGTAAATAAAATAGGAAATATAAATGTAGATATAAATAAAGAAAATATAAAGAATCAAATTAATTACATTTACATATTTTACATTTAAATTTCAAAAACTTTAAGCTCGCTTTGGGTAATGTATGAAGCAGATGATGTCAATTAATGATCTCCATTTATGAAAAACACCGTAATACGTAATTTAGTGATTTAAAATTTCAGAGGCCTTCCCAAGATTAAGATGAATACAAAATGAATCTCAACGTGTCAGCTTACTACGGTCTACGGAGGTTCGTGTCGATACCTAGCGAGCATAGATTCGACGGCCTCGATCGGCAGTCTACCCAAGCTGCCACCGTGGCGGGTCCCGGTCGCCAGGCCTTGCCAGTCGCGATCACGATCACGATCCCGTTCACCACGATCACGATCACGATCACGGTCGCATTCTACGTCGCTCAATTCGCGGCTGTCGCTAAACCCGCTTGGCGGCAACAACGTCATGTCTTCCACCGAACTACGCATATTGGATCAGAAATAGCTTTTAGAAGAATGAGAGATTATTAATGATATATATTGCAAAACATTTTTATCGCCATTGATTAAAGAATTGATCTGTGACTTGAATTTGACAAATTAATCTGGATCGAGCTTAAGGTTTAAGTAAAGTTGAAATGAATATTTGTTAATATTGGGAGATCCAAATTAATTCGATGAAATTTAAAGATATCTTTAATGTAATATTCTAGATGATTTTAATTTATGGTAAAAGATTATGATGATATGAAGTTAATTATCAAGGAATTTGATAAAATTTATGAAGATACACGAGAAAAAAATGTTTAAGTAATAGAAAAATGTAGTTTTCTTAATACATTACTATATATTAGCATTTAATGCAGTAAACATTAACTTTTATGGAATAAATTGTAGACATTTATTCTTTAATTGTTATTATAATCGAAACTCATACTACGAATATGAGATTTTTCTATTACTCATTTCATACTGATATGAAACCGATAAGAGCGTGATACGAATACTGAACATAATCAGGACTGAGTGCTATGTGGAAACAAACAAACCTTGGCTACCTGCGAGTAGACCGGCTCGGCTGTCGGCTTCGACGTCTCGCAAGTGAAGGTGAGCCTTCGTTGTTGGATTCTGTACTCGATTCTACTCCTCGTGAAAATACATCTGCAGAAAGAATTTGCAAATCAATAATTTCAGTTTGTAAAAAGCTAACAATTCGATTAAACCAATCCTTGTAAGTTTTACAGTTGTAAATTTTAGGAGAAACTTGAAATTAATCATATAAATTATAGTTTTACGTATGATTTTTTTTTTAGAAAGATTAAGAAATTTACCTCTGCAGGGCTTGACTGGTACCCTGTAACTAGGCCCAGCGCACTCTCCGCAAGGACTTCCGGACGTATCACTCCCGGAACCTTGACGACTTGAGCGTAGCTTGCTCTCCGCTTCCGCGATACTCGGGAAATACCGTTGCTTGTGCCACCTTGGTGTTTTAGACCTGAACGTGAAAGAACACCAGAAAGAGGAAGAGAAAAGGGTTTGGGAGCGGGATATCAAACTTTCTCGCGCAAGGAAATCGAGCAAAGGACATTGAATTCGTCTAACATGCATTAAAAATACTAAAAAAAGGGTTGAAAGAAAACAGTTACCTCTCAAAATCTACGCTGGATCTTTCATAATCGATCGTATTGATGTCTTCATTTTCCAAATGGCCAAACGTTTTGAACTGCATTGTGTAGTCAAGTGTGGCAGTGGTCACTGAACGATTTTCTCTCCCTGGTACACTGAATGTAGCATATGGACTTATTTCGTACATTTCTGTGGAAAAAAAGATCATTACTAGTTAAATTATGTAAAAAGAACAAAGTATGATTAAGGAGATCTGTTTTCAAGATTAACAGTTTTGTATCGGTGTATTGTTTCACGAAATGTATAATGAGTACAATAAGCATTTTTAAAACAGCTATAGCTTCTTTTTCCAATAAATCGTAAATAAGTAAAAAACCTGATCCATGGTCGTTCGATTTATGGTTCTCTTGTTTCACTGGTGAGCTAGTATAAACTTGATGATTCCTTCTATTATCACGTTCAGCAGTGGATTTTAGTTGCATGGTAGACATACAACTTGAAAGGTGATGGTGCTGTTGATGTTGTTGCTGTTGTTGAACTAATCCCAATCCTGTCTGTTGATTTTGTTGCTGTCCAGGAAGTATATCTCCCAAATAGCTAGCTCTAAAAAATACAGATATTATTATTTTCCTTAATCACACAAAATATTAATTTTATGAATCATTAATAGACATATATATAGTACCTTCCACTGCGTTTTAGCATCACGTATCCCAAAATAGCAGCCGAAATAATTAGCACAATTGCACAGATGAGAGGTACAACTACGTAAAGTACTTTGTGATTAGGAATAGTTTTCTTAATATCGTCTTCCATAATTAGATCGTTCGGAGGACCAATGCTAACGCCACTAAGAGTGGTTGTCGCAAATTCCATTTGTGTTTGTGTAGATCCAGCGTCATTATGCGCTGTTAGTCGTAAATTGTACCACGAGGCAGTCTTTAAATCTCTTATGACTAGATTCTCTGTAGCACGACTTGCCACTAGAATCCATGGTTCAGTGCTGATCCGTCTACGATACTCTACAGTGTAGTATTGAATAGGGCAACCACCATTTGGCCAGGATAGCAGATTTAATTTTACGGAGGTACCGTTGGCAGAGATAATGTCTCGTTCCTTTGGTAATAACGGAGCTACAGGGACAATTCAAAAAAGTTATATTGTATCTAAATGAACGATGTAGGAAACGTTACTTTGTATCCAAAATTACCAGTTCCTTTCGTCGTAGCACTTATTAGGGGACTTGGATCTCCAGTACCCACACGATTATGTGCTGTTAAGTGCGCCAAGTAAGAGGAACCGCATTTTAAACCTGATAAAATGAACTCAGTCTGTTCGGGTGATAATGCAATCTCTTCCCAACCACCTTGGTCCCTTTTATAGCTTAATACGTAGCCTAATAAAAGTAACATTACATTAAATTTTATATGTTTTAATATTTAATATTTCATTATATTCCTTTGTTACTGTTTCACTTTATTTCTACAGTTTTTAATATTCAATGTTCCTTATTTACCTTGAATAGTAGCACCACCATTATTGGGATGATTCCATCTAAGTTTTATGCTATTCGTTGTTGTATACTGCAGTTCTAATGTTGGTGCTCTAGGAGGCATTACCACGACCAACGTGTAAGTGATGGAATCATCGCCGAACAAGTTACTAGCTGAACACGTGTAATTTCCCGCGACAGATTGTTCTAGTCCTAACATTTTTTTCATGGTTAATGCTTTTATTAATGTATTTATTAATTCACTCGTGATTATATTGGATAGTATAATGAATAACTTTTTAAACAAATACTTCAATTATTTCCAAATAAATATCGCCTTACCACGAATATTGAGATGGCCATCGGCAGTTAATTCGTAATGTCTGCCAGTAGAAACTTGACTATTTCGATACGTCCATATTGGCCGAGGTGTAGGATTACCCACGACCAAACAGGATAAGGTAATCGATGATTTAATCGCCCTTCTCAATAATTGTGAAAAGGATGCCACTCTAGCTGGAGCTTTTGAAGCAATTTTATTACATACAATTAATAAATTATCTATAGATTAGATAAATTGAAAAGAGTATTTTTTGACTAATCAAACCTCTGGTATTTGTAGTTTGAGTTACTATAGTGGTTGGTTCTCCCTCACCTATACCTGTGGTTGCTGATACCCAGAACTCGTATAATTGTCTAAAACAAAATTTTATTTAAAATTACTTGTTTTAAGATTTATAGCAAAATTCTGAGGAAGTATTACCTTTCAACCAAGCCTCGTAGTTCCATAGTAAGAGTATCAGTCGACGACGATGGTAATTCATGCATGGTATGCGTATTATGGTTACTGGAGCCTGCTTCTCTGCTATAAACTGTGTACTTGGAGACGTTCCCATTCGGTTGCAGGGGTGGCAACCACGAAACCAATATGCTCTCCGCGGTTAATGCTAAAGCTTTAATGCCAGCTGGAGGGCCTGGCACTAGGAAGAATAATGAGTAAGTCCATTAATCGTTAATTTTGATTATAGTTTGTATGAATATTAATATACATATCGAAGATAAATTAGATATATTTTTATTGGCATTAGATAAATGAAAATTAAAAAAAGTAGAAAATGATTCTTACCATCTTCTTCGGTTGTACAAAAAATTGGTGGACTCAGGACTCCATCGCCAGCTCCTGTGTAAGCCAATACTCTAATAGAGTAATTTGTATATTTGTAAAGAGTGTGCAGATACGTTTCGACACTAGAAGTCTTTTTTATTTCACCCACTGTTGATATATCCACTGGAACAATTTTGAATGCAAAGAGAATATTATTTTAAATGAGTGGTTTTACCTATAATCTATTAACTTCATTTCTCTTTACTTACTATTGTCAGTGGGCACTGGTCTGTAGTATACTTTGTAACCTTGGATAATTCCACCATGTTGGTGGGGTGGAGGTGCACTCCAAGAAACTTTTACACTTTGGGAAGACAGAGGAACACACGATACCTGTGTTGGTGGAGTTTCTGGGACTAAAATTATGTCAAAGAATAAATCAGTAAAATATCGTCATCATATCACTAAAGAACAGGGCAATTGTATTCGCGAAAAAAGATTTTCTTGTGAAAGTTTATGTTTATCGCACCTCCTTCCTGTGTTGTTCCAACAATGGGAACGCTGGCCGGGCCGCTGGCTATACTATTGAAAGCTCTGATCGATATATCGTACTTGGTGAACTTTCTCAGGCCGGTGAGTTGCACCTTTGTAGTCGCCCATCCGTTCACGGTTAAACTTTTGCTTTGGTTCACACCTGACGTCGAAGATGAATGCTCCGACCATGTCACTATGTAGCCCAATAAATCTCCGTTACAGGACTCTTTTGGGGGTGGCTGTAAATGCAATAAATTCTCTCTTAGTGATTCTTTACAATACTTTTAAAAAATGAGACAATTTATTTCTTGTAAATAATTAGTATAATATTTAAAACAAATTTAAAACATAGGTTTATTTTAATATTTATTTTTGGATTGGAAAAAGAGTATAAATGAAGTACTTGTATATTTTATAAAAAAATTTACCTGCCAGCTGACCATAAGTTCTCCAGGCCCTGCTGATTGCACTTTAATATTTTGTGGTGATTCAGTGGGTGCTATTACAAGTGGAAAGTAGGAAAATTGTTAAATAATTGTGAAGAGGATATTATTAAGATTGCATTAAAAAAGAAACGTGTTTCTGTACCTTCTTCCTGAGTTTTGGCAACCACAGGATCAGTAGGTACACTCACATCTATTGAATTAATAGCAAATATGCGGAATGTGTAAGTTACTGCTGGGTGAAGTCCACCTACTAAAGCCACTTCTTGATCGTCGCTGGTAGTTTCGAAAGGGGATAAACCTGTATGTATTAAAACAATCATAATTAATATAATAAAAAAAGCTGTAAAATTAAAATTCACTTTTATATTATATCTTATTTAAAACTTTTGATTATAAATATTAATTCTGCCAATAATTATATAATAAAAAAAAATAGAAGAAATATACAAATAAATAAGCTTTTAAATGGAACAAAAGGTAACTAATTTAAAACATACTAACCATTTTGTGTTGGATGTATGTTGTTTCCGTTATTAGTACTTCCGGGCGTGTAAGTAACATTGTGCGTTTTTGCAGGATTCCAGTCGTCTGGTGAACCATGATTCAACGATCGATACTGAATAACGTAATTTCGTATTGGACTGTTTCCGTCGAAAGCTCTCTTCCACAGTAATCGTATCGATCGTGAGCTGATTTCTATAACTTCTAGCGAAGCTGGTGGATCTGGTCTCTCTGTACTCGTGACACGAACATAGTCCATCATTTGTGACCACAAAATACATAACAAAATATATTCCATCAAATATAGAAAACAAAGCAAAATGTCTATTGATACTGACGAAATGATATTTTATTTCCAGAGAATTTATAATTATTATTCTTTATGTAGATTAACTAAAAATTAATGTTATATACAAAGAACAAAATGTTACCCTGAACTGCAAGATAAATTAGATGTTCGCTCCTCCCATAAGCGTTGTCAGCTGTGCACCTGTAAGCCCCAGAATCTTGACGATCGCTGCTCCCTATAGACAACTGCGACTTAAGGCCAGTGTCTGTTTTTATTTGACTGATGCTCAGTCGGTGGCTGTTCGTGTCTAACCGATCACTGTTGTGCATCCATTGCACTTCTATAGGATTATCCCCGATGACAGTGCAATCCAACGTCACGGACTCGCCACGACGGATTGTCACATTCTTGCTCTGAAACTCGAATCTCGCTGGCTCTGTAAGAGAAAAGAATAGAAACAATCTGAAAAATATTGATAATTAACTGAGATAATCGTATTGATTACAATACCATTTAGGCTATCAAAATCCTACAATGCACAATTTAACAGAAAGTTTACCATGAACAGACACATAGATCACTTTGCTCAGACCAGATCCAATGTCATTATTCGCTCTACACAGATAATGTCCTTCATCTTGAGGCCCAGCTGAGGCTGTCCACAGAGATCCATTAGGCAGAATGGTCAATCTCCCGTCAGATCCATCAACCAGTGGATGATAGTCGTTAGAGGTTCTTCCTCTAGCTCGCAACCACGTGACACGTGGCGGAGGGAACCCCTTGGCCTCGCAATGGATATTCAATGGATTCCCCAGGAGGGTGGCTACGTCTTGCGGTTCAAAGATCCATTGTGGTGGCACTTTTACCAAAAGTTCAGTAGTATGGTTGACCTTGGCCGCGCTATTAGTTGCCACGCAAGTGTACTTGCCGCTATGGCGTGAGGAGAGCTCCTTGAAGACGAGTAGACTGAAGAATTCGACCATCTTCTCCTCGATCTGTAACGCAGATTACGAAGTATGTTTAAGTGAGACATTTAATGATACGAAATATTATATTGCATATAATCATTGTGCTATAGCATTGGTTCTAATAATAATTTTGTTACGTCTACTTGATTCTTGACAATTTGTCAGCATTATGTTTTCTAATAGAGTAACATGCATGTGCAATGACTAATTAGACGCAATTTTTTTTCAGATGAAGACATACACGTAAAGAAGAAGGTAACGGTTCGCCATCTTTTAGCCAGGAGAAGTAGATTGGAAGATCACCAGAAGTGACGGTGCAGGTGACCTGTGCTCGACTGCCTTCTTGGAGATTTGCTGGGAAATTGAAAGGACTCATAACAGGTGGACCTGAAACAAGAGAAATTGGTTCATTTTGGTAATTCTTTAAATTATTATTTTAGGCATAATAAATTATATTAATCGTCGTAAGAAATGATACCGGTCATACGTGATTATAATTTTTGTCTGACTGTGATCATACGTGGAGTTTACTCTCGAGACTGGTAAGAAAAAAATAGACGAAGGTAAGGATAATTATTGTGGTCAGTGCTTATTAGTTTCTGTCCACGTATGTATCTTTTAGTTTCTTCTACAAAACGTCGCGATAAATGAGAAAAAGTTGAGAAGTAACGCTAGAGGAATTCTTTCGGGCGTGCAATTTACTTCTTTCGCCTACTCTCGTGACTCCGCCGCAGACGTAAGCGACCCGTCCGTAAAGAAATAAAAACAAAAACTCGTTTCTCGTTAAAACGAATGTACGTATTTATACGCGTACACAGTGCTGGTTATAGTTTTTGCTCTAACAAAACTAGAATCTCACTATGAAAAATAGACAACAATCTGCAATATTTATATTTTATAACATTATATTTATTACATTTTAGAACATAACGTTAATTTCGTATATTCTTCAATTTATATTTTCCCGCGATAACAACGCCTAGCTTGTCCAGTCGCAGCCAACTTCAAGTCAATGCCAACTCGAACATACCGGTAACACATGGTGGAATATTTTCGCGCGTCAAAGTGAAACTTTCAATGTCTATAAAACTTTTCGTGAAGTAGCATTATCGTTGATTGGTGTTTTAATTGTTGCAATCGACGAAATATATATATTCAAAAATAATAATGCGGAGTATCAATTATTACTTCGTAACATTGTAACTATAGGTTACTTTTGTAACGGTTTGTAACGGTTTGTAACGTGTGTAATATTTACGAATGCATAAATTTAAGAAATTAAGGGAATCAAGATATCAAGAAATCAAGAGATCATATTTAGTTAACACAGCTTTGAAAAGGTAGATTTTTAATGATATTTCTAACTTTTGTTTGATTTTAGAGTGGCATGTACGAAATAAAGTGGCTGGAGTTCAAATCGTATAACGATACTGCGTAATTACGTAGTATCGACTGCAGGTTATAGATTTCGATCGTCAATTGCGATATTTACTTAATATAGCTTGGAAAAGGCAGTTTCCTAATAGTTTTAATTTTTCTTAGATTCTGACGTGTAATATGCGAAATAAAGTGGCGGGAGTTCAAATCGTATAACGATACTATGTAGTTACCTAATATCGACTGTAGATTCTAGATTTCGACTCTTGATCATGATATTTAGTTAACATAGCTTGGAAAAGGCACTTTCTAATAGCTCATCGGCTGCATAGTGTGGCAGCTATACATATAATGACTACGTGATCATTTCGAATGTCTTTTGCAGGTTTCTCTTTGGACCGGACGGGTCTTCATCATTGGGCCTGATTGCTGGTGCGAAGGAGGTGACTAATGGTCAACGGTCAAGAGTCAATGGTCAGTACTATATATATGTTCATTTAAAAATACTCACTGCTGACAGTCAACCGGATGTCTCTGCTTGCCGTTTCGCCAGATCTAGCTCGTACCATACAAGTATAAGTGCCAGCGTCATTTGGATCCACGTTTGCGATGTTAAGATGGCCCTCGTTGTCGACGTCGTACCTTATGTTGAGAGGAAGCGCGGCTCCTCCACGAGACCACTCAACCGACGTGATAGGATAGCCGGAATAAGGACAAGCTATGGTGGTATCGACACCGGCTATCGCACGGACCGGTCCTATCGATCGGATGTACGGCGGTCCTGAAATTATTAATCGACGTGAAGTGCCTTCCGACACATTTCGCTTGGCCACTAGCCGAATTATTATCCTCTTCCTATCATTAGCGGCAGATTAATGTTGTTTAAGGTTTATCATCAAAGTTTCATTAGAGCATCTAAGTTGATAGTTGATAGATTCCTTCCCATTATAGAGTTCTTACACCAAGAGGGAAAATAACAATGTAAAAGAACTTGATTTAAATTTCTTTTCATTTAATTTTGAATTAGAGATTAATATCCATACGTATGTAGAGTAATATTCATCGAATTTCATTGTCCTGCTTTAACAATTCAGTGGTCTATTTATCCCAAATATTCATGAATATTTACTCTCTATTTAAATGATTAATTGCTTTAATTTACCTCAATTCACTCGTTTTATTATTTATCCAATTCGTTAATAACTTGTTTATTCAATGCATATAGTCTTAAGAACTGAAATTGATTTTACAGGGAGGATTAAACTCCGTTACAATCGTAAGCCGCCTTCATCGAGTCTGAACTGTAATTCTCGTTACGAGTGTGACCCAATGTTACAAGCAAGGGATGATTCGAATTACCATAAATGTTCAGTCTAGCTTTGTGCTCGACCGTGGCCAGGGTGTTGGCCGCGACACAGGCGTAGAGGCCGCCATCTTCGGCTCCGGCTGTCGATATGTTCAAATGACTGATCACGTCTCCAGACTGATCGACGTACTGTCCTATTGCGTACCTGTATCAGGTATTGTGCTTGGTTAAGAAGTGTAATATTGATCGATGAGATCTAGATGCCCACCTGTGTCCAGAGGCGATTTCGCTTAGAGGCTCTCCGTCTAGCAGCCAAGTGAACGATGGCGGCGGAGATCCTGTTGCAGAGCATCTCAAGGATACTGTAGGACCAGGTTTCAATGCTTGCTCGATGAACGTGTATTGTAATTCTGGTACAGTATCTGATGCAACAAATTAAACTAATTTTATTTTTGTCCTTGTTCACACTATCCGGATTTTCCAGAGAAAGAAGATTATAAAGATATCTCAACGCTCTGATGATTCTCAGAAAGTGTCTCATTCGACGATCATATAAATGGATAAAACCAAGTAGCTATATATAAGTACATTTTTATCCGAGAAAAAATGAATATAGATTTTTGCAAAAATTATTACATATTTTCATCAACAAGTGATACAAGTCAACACTAGAACCGGCCTATAGTGAGTAACTATCACGAGTACCATATATAAAAAGTTAAACAATTTTATTAAAGGTAGTTATATGTTTTCAGAAATTACAATAATACAAGTGATCCTGACCACCTCAATTAAAAATCCCGAGAAGCGAATCGCCAATTGGCCCAGGAATCGCAAGTTAATCGGTCGATTCAGCAAAGACAGAAACCATTGTGACTTCGATTAGAGATCCATCGAGATATACCTCCAAGCTTCAATTCCGCGGTGGCCTGTGCGTTCTCCTTGTCGCTTCTGACCAGGCACTGATACATCCCCTTGTCCTTTCGGCCCACCGAGCCTATCACGAGCACCAGAGGAACCAGCAATCTGATCCTCGTGTCCTGCGCGGTCAATACCGGCACACCGTCGTGCAACCACTCGACGCTCTCGACCGGATAACCCTCCACCGTGCAATTCATAGTGGCCGACTCCCCGGAATTGATGATCTGTAAATACCGGGAAACGGTTAACGATTCGTGCTCGAAAGTTAATGCCCGTGCCGCGATTTACGCAGCTGCACGTCCATCCCCCTTTGACGCAACGACTGTCCATCCGCTTCGATGGACGCTGAACTCGTGCGCGGTTGTGGCTTTTTCTTTCCTCTTTTTTCCCTAGTTCGCGAAATTTAATCGATATTCTGTACAGCGCAGGGTAGTCGAGGATATTTTTGAGCCGGCGGTCTCATCTTTGAACGGCGATATGGGAGACGTTGGGAGACGATATGCGAGAAATTGCGGAAGAGTAGATGGATATCTTTTGAGGTTTGGGACGAAGGAATCGTCGAGGCGCACATCGGGATTCGAGGTATCGGGTAAGTGGCTTGCTGTTTGTCAGAGTCTCGTATCGGGAGGCCTCTTGATCTTCTTAATCACCTGGATAGATCTTCCGCGGATAATAGTGGTGTTTAAGCTAATTCGAGGATCGGGTGCTTGGCTCGTTTAAATTTTCCTAACAGCTTCGATAAGGGATTAGTCTAATTGTGAGTTATTTGATAGATCAAGAGGACTTCGGTTAATAAGAACTCCTAGTTTTAATTATTTTTATGAAAAAACGATTCAATGGATTCTGTATTTGCAAGTGTCGCACCTGATGAATCTGATTTTAAAAGAAATTGTTATGGTCTGTTTAGGACATCTGATTGGGATTTTTTCTCATTAAACTAGCAACAGAAATTGAAGCGTTTGATTCGCCATCATCACGTCGTCGACATATACGAAAGAACGTGTTGGCTGGAATCTACACCGAATCGTTCGATCCTTATGATAATTCCGTGATTCCGAGTGGTGGTCGTAAAAGTTAACAGTAACGGCTTCAGAGTCATAGCTGCCACTTATGATAAGTACTCGGCTATTGTGGAACACGGGGGACGATTATAATTGGACTTTATGGCTCAGAAGTCGCAGCGATTGAATTTTCTAGCCGGAGAGTTAGCATAATCGAGTTCGATGGTGAATCCTTGCCAAGCTTAGCAATTTATGAACTAGCATAAGCTGTCGTAATTACACTCGAATCGAGGCTCAAAATTTCTCTACAACAATTCACAAGCATATTAATTTAATTAAATATAATATTAAAAAAATAAAATAAAATAACAGCGTAATACCAACCAATTGTTTCTACAACGAAACCATAAGTTTCTACGTTACAACCACCGCTCTGGAAAACGAAGAAAAATGAAGTATCATACTTAGGTATTATCGATAAATTCGCAAGCCTGCGGTGTGAGGGGTTAAGAAGTACGAACCACGTGATTTCCAAGCTTCGTTACACAGGGACAAGAGTAAATCCTCTACCTGAACACGGGGCTGTATCCGCGCGTTAAGTTTTGAAGTGACCGACAGGTGTGTTTCCGCTCGTTGCTTGCCGACCTGATTGCTGGCTAGACAAATGTACCTTCCTGCGTCCTGAGCGTCCACGCGGCGAATTTGCATCAAATCACCCCACAGCTGAATTCGGCCAAATGATTCGACTGGTACCGAATGGCCTGCAACAACAGTATACCCGTTGCTTGATACCATACTCACGCCAGCGTGATGTATCGCTTGGTCACCCTGTTTTCGCCACTTTCGCGCGCGTTTCCATGAACGATGAAGGATAGGGAGGAAATAGGGGTGGAATTGCATACAATTATGTTAACAGCTACGAGTTCGATCCTGACTCTGCGTCGTGCGAAGACGAGTTAAGAGCGTGTACTGTGCGTTCGACAAAAGAAGGTATAACGTCTTCATATCCTCACGGTTGATGTAGATGCATAGTTCGAGTACTGTGCGTTCGAGAAAAGAAGGTGCAGCATATTTATTACATCTTCACAGGCAGTGATAGCTATTGGTCGAGGACAATGACCGATGATCTTCGTCATTCGTTTTCGGCCAATAGTCGTGGGAATGTAAACACACTGTGCCTTCTTTTCTCGAACGCACCATACTCAAATTCTATATCTACGTCAGCCGTGAGGATGTAAACACGCGGAACGCACAGTATTCGAACTCTCTATCTATATCAGCCTTGAGGATGTAGACGCGCTGTGCCTTTCTTTCCTCGAACGCACAGCACGTGCTCTTAGTTCGTCTTCGTACGACGCGGAGTGAGGATCGAGCTCGGAGCTGTAGACAGGATGTAAACACGCGGTGCCTTCTTTCCTCGAACGCCCAGTACAACAGTGCTCGTCAGCTGTTTTCAATGGCGATGGCAGCTGGACTCGCTTGGGATCCATTTTTCAGAGGTAATTACCGACACAATAATTACTCGAGCGACACGATGTGGCGTTAGATTATGCGGTGTACATTTAGATTACACGGTAAACAATCCCCTAATTAAACCAACCGTTAACATCGCGATACCAAGTAAATTGCGGGGGTGGGCTCCCCTGGGCTGAGCAAGTTAGATGAACGTCCGAGCCGCTTTCCGCCGAGATGGCGATCTGAGATCTCTGCATCAATCGTGGCGCCATAAATTCCGTCGGTTCTGGAAATTAAACAGCGCGTATGCATTATCACGTCTTGTACGAAAATGAAGTCTAACAATATTGAATTAAAGTTTCGTTAAACGATAGAACGGGGGAAAATGTATCGTATCAAACGCAAATGCGAATGGGACTTTAATCATCGACGTGATTACAAACGGAATAGTAAAAGCATGTTATATAGAGTCGAACAGAATTTAATTTAGTTTATCATAGATTCGAATTAATTTCCTCTTCTCTTTTCTAAAATTTCTTGATAGAAGAAGGTTTAACACTAGAACTACCGATCTTTACTGGGCACCTAACTATAACGTGCCCAGATTATAGTAATTTCAGCAGGTACGATGAATATGAGTGAATATATTGATTACAGTTCTTTCTTAGTATGAGTTGGTACCAATTTTATTCTTAAAACAGGTGTATGTGTTTGCAAAAAGGGAAATTTTGGGACCAGTCATTTTGACTGGTTTGGTAGTTCTAGTGCTAAGGATCGCGGTATTATTTTTGTTTTCAATGGCAGCAACCTGTGACTGTTAGCTTTGCTTGCTTGCTTCTTCTCCTTTCACCAGTTAACGCGTGGAAAGTTAAGCACGAGTAGGTGGCTCTGCCGTCTTCCGGTCTCGCGGCTTTGATGTGTAGATCCCCTTGAGATGTGACCACGAATCTCGCACCTGTAATATAGCCGAAATTCCAATAAAACGAAGAAAGGGAACAAGATGTATAGAATTTCTATATCGACATAGTGACAAATGAAAGGAGAATTAATCCTTTGCGCTCTACGATCTTTTGGCTAAAGAAGGGTACGAATTGAAAAATTTTCTGCTATAAAGAGGATGATATTTTCTGAGCGGTAAATAAGAAATCGTATAATAATCGACACGCAGAATTATTTGACTTCGATACCTCGCGCACTGTTGCATTACTTTAAATTTGATATATTAATTAATATCGAGCTTCGATATTTTGTAAAATGGCGACTGAAGGGCGCCTCTCGAATGCAAAGGATTAATCTACAATTGAGATGATAGGATTAGATGGATAATTAAATCTACAATTACACGTTTGTCGAAACCCCATCGGAATTTATCCTATGGCATTAAATTACCATTCAATAGCTACTCAAGACCATAACGATTAATTCGTCAGAGATCTGTCACGATCTCTGCCATAACGCGAAGTCAATTTTCCATTGGTTCCAATGCAAAACTTCGACAGTAGTCCGCTTTAATTATAGACTCCTAGCGTGATTTATGGCGTTTACGGATGAAGCTGTGAATTACATCGTGAAAGTAAAGTAATACGTCAGCGAGTGACGTTAATCTCCAGTATTTGACGCGGCCTGTGAAACGCCACGTTCCAAATAATCCTTCTGAAATAGCTTTACAAGCTGTACAACTTTTCACCCCCCTCTGTCCCCCTTCGGATATATCGAATCATTTAATTCGTTGTTCGATTTCACGCGATTTTGCCCTCACCCCGTGAGAAATATCATTTTTCAGCTGCTCCCTCGTCCCCGTTTCGCTCGGCTTTTTATTCAACTTCCATAGAACGGCCACGCTCGCCGGAAACCCGTCATATATTACGGGTCGTGCATTAAAAACCGTGAAAAAACAAAATATTCTTTCGACTCGCGGAGTTACTTGTTGTTTATACCGACGAGCATGGCCAACGAAATAATTCGTTTGAACGAAAGAACGTGGGTATCGCGAAACCTTACGGCTGATTCGCAACGCGCGAGCTTATTGCCCAATTTAATTATTACCGACGTATTAACGCGCACGCGTACAATGCATAAATATATACGGAACGGATGTACGTTGAATAAGTAAAAAGTGAAGGTAGTTTCGCACGATGGTTTTGTTTTTATGGAAAATTAAACTTCAAAATCCGGCGAGTGTATATGCGTCCGTTTAGTCCGCCGTTTAAGCATTTCGTTTCCCGCAATTTTTAATAACCGATGAAGGGGGGTCTACAACGATTTGCTGTTAGAAGATGCAAACGCGACGCAATAACCGATATAAAATTATTAACCATCCCTTTGACATCGTCCGTGATATCGTTGATGTATTCGCGTGTAATAAAATTAGTTGGATTAAAATTCATGGGAAAATTAGAGGGAAGAGTCGTAAAGTAAATTTTTAAGGACTATGTTTCATTCGAGCGTCTCTTCGTTTCACAATTTTGATTTATTTTCTATTTATAAAGGTGGATCCGCAATTATCTATTAGTATTTCCCACTAGGAAATTTTGACTAGTTGTGATCCTAAAGCTCACGAGTTGATAAATTTCTCGAGAACTAGATCACTATGAATTTTCATTGATGCGTTATTTATTTTACGAATTCATTCGTTAACTATTCGACGAGAAATCCTAAAGGCAAATCAAGGGTCGTTAAAGACAATTCAGTTATAGCGAAGCCAAGCAAATACCGATTATTTACCTGTCGATAATCTAGAACGAGTAAAAAGTGGAGCAATTTCATCTTCCATATCGTGCTAATGCGATCGTATCGCAAATTCCTCCCGGAGCGCTCCGAGCGCCTCCGGTGGAAAGCGGCTTTAGGCGGCCGGAAGCAGTCGACAGTCGCTCCGATCGAAAACAAAAGCCGGTTGTACGCGGATTTCAGAGACCTGGTGGGGGTGAAAATAACGCGATACCCTCGATATTTTCGTCTCGATTTCAATCCGCTTGAGAGGTTATGCAAAATCCTCGGCATCTGTCGATGAAATCCCGCACCAGACGCACCGTCAGGCGTGAAATTTTCAATTTAGTTGGAGCGAATGGTCGGTCGATTCGCCGGACCTTCATCTTCTTCGCTTTTCTCCAAGATTCTCGCTCGCACCGACGAGATTTCGGCTCATCTGACTGCGTGTAACTATCCCCGCCGCCATTGTGAACCGTCGGCCATTTTGAGTGGACCCAGTCGATCCTCCGACTTCGGATAAAGTGGAATTACTCGTTTTAAAGTTTGAAATTTCAATTTAGTTTGAGCGAACGGTCTGTCGAGTCACTGGAGATTGCTCTACTGTATTTCATTCAGGGTAAACTGGCTATACGTATAACTATTATAGCAGCCATTTTGTCATCGATTTAGGATAGCATGAAGTTATTCGTTTAAATTTTAATTCAGTTTCTTCCCGGGAGTCTCATTCTTGTCGACGAGATTTGGACCAATTTGTGCGTTAAGTTTCGTCGCCGCCATGTTAAAGCGGTCGGCCATTTTGTTTACCGGATGTAATCGTCGAAACGTATACATTTTACGAAGCATCGGATGCAAGATATAATTCTTCGTTTTACAAATACATTCCATTCCTTTGTTAAATAATACCTCAAAATCAAGACAGTATTATCGTCATCGTTATAACCTCCAAAATTTCAAACTTCACTTTCTAACCTACAAAAAATTGCAAAATCCAACACCGACACGAACTTCTCCGGCATTTCGTTGCTTTTTTAAAACAATCTCCGTGATAGAACTCGGTTGTACCAACACAATCGAGGCCAGGAACGAATTCCATCATCCACCCCATCTTTTCCAACGACCAGCACCACACCTTCTTTCCAATAAACCACGCGATAAAACCGCGATAAACTGTACAACCCAGACCGCACGGGGAAAAAAGTGAAAGAGAAAAGGAAAACTGGGAGGAAGAAAGAAAAAGAATTTCCAACCCATTTCCATCGAATCAAATCGAAGCGAATCGAACGACCCAGAGCAACCACCCCGCGTTTACCGCCAAATTCCCACGCCCCGCCATATTTATTATCCCAAACCGACCTACCCGGCTAGTTCTTATTTCCCGAACGCACACATCGCTGCTGTTCACGGTCTTTCTATATGAAATAACGTAGCCACGCACGGAGGTACCGAGCAGATACGTGGATGCCCGAAAGAAATAGGAAATAAGGTTGCTACTCAGCCCCGACGGGGCCGAGTTCCAGCGGATGCTGCTCGGGGCGGGACGGAACGGCCGCGAAAGAAGCAATTTAATATCGCCTTTCCCGGCGGAATAAAAATACGGAGATAAATAGCTCGTAACTCGGGGCTCGACAGCCGTATACGAACCGGAAGCACGACTACGTCGTCCGCTGGCGCGCTTGTGTCACGAGACGGCCGCGTGGATGTGAGGCAGTCGCAGGAAACGGGCCCACGGTTACGTCGACTCGGACTTTATCGACTGTATCCCCGTGCTTTTTCTTGCGTTCGACGTTGGCTTTGGAAAATACGACGGCCACTGGGTAAAGTAATATTCGTAAATGGGTTTTGATCGAGCTTCACGTTCCATTTCTCTTCCCTTTCCTACTTTTTTATTTTTTTCGGCAGCTTTTGCGACGAATTTTTCCTATCAAATGGGTGTTTTACGTTGGAAGGTGATTTACAGTAAATCTACCACGGTTAAATGACCATTTTGAAACTTTTGATTTAAAAGGTTATAGTTTTGATTAGCTGTCGAGTTTCCGCTTAACTCACTAGCGCCACCACGGTCCATATCTCCAACAAATGTTACGGTACATCGTATATATCGTTGAATTAATTCCATAATTTTTTAATTACGACTGTATTTCTGAAAGGGTTAACGAGTGTACGAGTGAATCAGTATAAAAAGGTGAATATTCTTGGTCTATTTCACCAAGAGTATAGTCATTATTTGGTCGCATATTTCATATTTTTGTTATACGGTTTTAATAAAGCGTTTATAAATGTATACAGACCTAGGATAAGTTTGCGATGCGAGTTATAACACGTTCACAGGAAAATTTCATTGGGCTATCGACTAGTAGTTTTTCAAAAAAGGAGCGGACCACGTGAGCTAGGTTTGGGAGTCCTGTATTTCAACGTGACTCTCTTCAATATCAATACAACTAGCAGTTAGCGACCTCGACAATCTCCACCCATCTTCCCCTAAATCACCAGGAAAAAACTTCTCCCTTAACACGTTCACCACAGGTCGTATTTCACCCGACTTTCTATTCATGCCCAATTGGAATCTACATTAAAATGAACAACGGGGTAGATAGCTGAATTTATAACACTGGACCGCGCAAAATATAACACGCGATGTATTTTATGCTCATCCATTATTAATTCTAAGTTTCAATGGTTCCACGTTTACGAACGGACGATCAATTCGTCGAGCGTACGTGGTCCAGGTACTAATTCATTATGCAACACAGATGATTTCCTCTCTCGCAGTGATACAAATAACCAAGCTTTTATTATTATTTTAGGAAATCCAACACTGTCCTGATCACCAGGATTCGATATCCCGACGACAATGGTGAAGGATCCTTTCAAGCGATCAATCTCGTCATGAAACAGGTTGCACATAAATGTGAAAGAAGAGCTAACTAAAAGAGGAATAGACATCGAAAGATTCGTCACATCCAGTAATAATAGAGCGATGCAAAGCGGCAATACTGTAGGATGGCGAAACTGGTCTCGAGGCACCGGAAATTGACGAAAGAACAAGAACACAATAACAAACTCAAAACTCGTAAACTGATTTAACTTAGGAAAAGAACATCAAGATAACGAAAACACACAAAGACGCACTCTTTTAAAACTCTCTTTCCTACACCAAGCGACTCACGCTTGTGCTGGTCACAATTGATTTCCAAGGACTCTGTTTTGGTTGTCAGGGACCACGCTTTTATGCTTTCTTTAACCCAT